GGAAGGGAAGTCGTAGGTGGATTGCCTTGGGGCCGTAACTGTAGATTTGTGCGAATAGGCCCTCGGTGCACTGCCCTTAGAGCCCAATGAGTCCTTGCTGAGCTTTCGTCTGTCATGTGACGGCCATCTTTGCAACAGGACAACATGCTTTATGATAATTCACCCCTTCAACTTCCGGTGAGACCAACTTACAAATCCCTTACACTTGCCTCTTCAAACGAAATGAAAGGTACTTCAACAGTATACCAACTTGGTCTTGACAACTAAAAGCGAATTTTCATTTTTGTCGAAATCTCTTGATTAGCGGATTTGTTGTGTCATCCCAGTAATTACGATTTGAAGGTGTGAAGAGTTGCTGTTATATTCACAACAAACCTAAGACTAACAAATGTGGTAAGAAGTTTTGGACAAATGAACTGGGCTATCTCTCGATAATGAAAACTAGAAAAATAAATGTGCAAAGACGGACAAGTTGATAGACGTTATGTGAAAGCACACCACTCCGTATCAAGTAGTCTGGCAGAGGAGATGGAAGCCTGATGGCTACGCTACGACAAAGACTCTCGTAGGGATGCTCACCTTGAAGACATCGGAACAAGCTAGGGCTCAAATTGTGACTCGGAGTAGTCTTAATCGTCGTAAGAGTGGAGCCGGGTGGTAGGGCGCTGACTATCCAACAGACAATGTTGTCTTGCTGTTGACCATTTTGTAAAGCCATTTAAGATTTACTTTGAGCCGAATTTGTATTTAGAAGGAAAAGTTAGTTGGGAGAGATTCGTGGATTGGTCACATCGGAAACAGAAGGAGTGAAGACTACTAATTTATGTGAAAAAGCCATCGACTTACCTTTCAGTGACTCTGGTGAACTCGTCATATGGCAGACGTCGTCAAAGTGCGAAACCATACTTTACAACAAACTGAATTAATATACTTAACCAAGGAAACTGGGCCAAGGACGCGTTGAAACAATCCAACATTTTCATTGTCATTCTAAAGCATTCCTTTTTCAGTTTCCGTTGAGGGCAATTTATGAATCTTCCCAGCAACTCTTGCTTCGAAATGAAAGGTTGAAGCAAACTAAATAATTGAGGGAATCCCGGATACCCAGTTTTTATTAATATAACAAACTAGTTCCCTTGACTTGTGTGTAAGCTGGAAATGATTGCTAGATTGCTTCCCGGCTCTGACGACGTCTGTCTAAAGGTATGACGATAAACTAAAATGGTTCTACGTATTCACGTGACAGATGACAAGAGGCTTTTCCTCAAAATCCAACATTCTTCACTCTACTTCACTTTATGGCAATGTTTCATTGGTTTCCGATGGGACCAAATCACAACTCTCTTCCAGCCAACTTTTTCTTCAAAATGAAAGGTCGAATCACACACAATCATCTACGGTAAATTGCCTTGGAGTAGACTGCTCGATTGTGTCTCATGTGATAGACATCAGCAGAGCTAGAATAAATCATTTACGAAAACTATATACGATGCGACTATGCTGATGCTTAGAAAATTTCACCTTTATTTAGTTATGATTGATATTTCTTGTGTTTTTGAGCAGGAATTTCAATTGTCTCACAGTATAAGTAGAGTTGAATACGATAGCAATGCATATTTTAGATACTTTGTTTTAGAATGCTCATAATTTCAACAAGTCTGAGAAAATAAACATCTATATTACTGATAGATATTCACAAGAATCAGCAAAAACTATTTATAGACGTAGATATGAAGTCAAATATGTTGTGGTCTCTATTTTAGCAGCAGTCTCATTTCTATGTACAGAAGTGATCTTTCCTTCTTTCACAACCTGGTCGTGTTGTCAGGGCGGCATAGTTGAACGCACCTTGTCCGAAGTCCTCTAAATTCCCAGCGTAGGACCGTGGATTTGGTACATTCCCAGACATTTCTCCGGCATCTTCAGTCAACCTTGCCATTCTCAGCACCAAGCTACAATTCTTCAGAGACATGTTCTGTCAATCCCTCGACCAACTTTATAAAACAAATGTGTTACCACTCCACCTTGTGTGATGGTACGTCTACCTACTTGTGATTACTAATACAACGCGGCTTTCAATGAATCACAAAGCGATAACTTTGTTGTGGAGACGTTCATTTCGAATGCAAGTGCAAGATTAACTGACGAGGTGCTGAGCATAGCAAGCCTAATTGACTAAAAATGTACCAACTTCTGTATCAGCGGAACTCTGAAAAGATGTGTCGAACTGAGTCGCCCTGACAGCGCGAACCACTTCATAAATTAGTTATCTTCTGATTTCCTAGCATTCTATAAATCAATTTGAGTACAGGCAAAAAAATAAAATATGGAATATAACTACTAAGAAGGAAGTCGATTTCTTGGATGACATTCCGGTTCGAAAGCAAATAAAATACAAAAATTTGAAATAATTTGGCCTCTTTGAATAACGGGAGATTAAAAAATTTGCAAAATCTTCATCAACTTTACGCGTTGACAGTCTGAAAACTGATTTCAGATACGAAGCGTAACTGGGTTTCGATAAATCTCCTGAAATGATATTATTGGAAAGACCTAAATCAGGCTACCAGTAAATCAGATATATGAGTTATTTCACTCAATTTCATTTGAGGTTGGTATATCTGATTTAGTGCTGGTCTCAATAACAATTGCTATAGCAAATATAAGTCTGTTACATCGACAATCCCACCACAGAATGTGATATGAAAAATGCCTGACATTCTTTGTAATCGTAGCACTGTGTTGTAGTGGTTAACGTGTCGAGATTAGCCGCTGCACTGTCACAGTTCGACTCCCGCTGGAGGTGTTGAGAAGACCCAAATGAGGCGAGGTCGGAACTGCAGTCCTCTCTGGCCGGTGTGATAACAACTTTTGGGAAAGCAAAGCATTGTGAAATCGAATAGAAACGTCTGCTCTGGTCACATGATTGTGGGAAAATTCTACTACCAGTCCTTCATCACCTCAAACGAAATAGGGCAAAAACAACTCATGGACGTATTTCATCTCAAACCAGCACCGAAACAGGATGCAAATGCTTTTGACAAAATAGTAACTTGGCAACTAGAAATCCCTTTTTATGCTGGATCACAGTCTGAGAGACCGCCTTGCTTTAGTTGGACAACAGTCTTGCCCTAAAGCGATCAAAAGTGGCCGATTGACTCGAAATTTAGGCTCAAAATAGTTTGTCAACTTTGGGCCCCATTGACGGGGCCGGGGGTAGAGGGATAGAGACATAAATTTGTTGAAATATAAGCACTTGTACACTGAACTTGACTTACCGTCTTTGTTCATTCCCGCCTCGAGGCACTTCTTCAGCCGACACGCCCTGCACTGGTTTCTATGCGACTTGTCTATGCGACACATGTTGCCCGGAGCTCCACGCGCCTTACAGCCGTACTGGCGATTCCGACGGATCGAGCGCTTTACGGGGATAGAATGCAATACAACCGGAGTCACTAGGAGGCCAAAGCATCGAGTTGCAAGGCAAAATGTGTAAAGAGCAACCGCACGTGAATGCAACCAGACGACGTGTGCTTGCGTCGTGAAGCAAGAGAGAAAGGCAATCTTCGAGAAACAGACTTGGCAAGATCTGGCAATGCGAAAAGAGCTGGGAACCGGGACGAGGCTTTACATTCAGTCTTCATCCCGGGTTGGCAACCTATCCAACCACAATCACTCACACAAATGTCAGTATCCTGCCCATTTTCTTGTCATAGACACTCTGTTTTGTACCGATGCATCTCAAGGCTCCAAACACTCGAAATCCATCATCATCATCATCATCATCATCATCGTGTAGGCCGCTAGGATAAAAAGGAGTAGACAGAAGGTGGCTCGTGAATTGGCCTCACCGAAAAGCGAAGGATTGTCTGAAAGAGAACATTGTTGCAATCTTCGGCTCTCCGTCTTGCGACCTCGAAAGATCATTGGTGCACATTCATCCATCAAATGACGGATATTGTCAGATCGAGAAAGCGTAATTTACGAAAAATTGCACTAATAAGTTGTCATACTGAGAAGAAGTTTAGTGCATTAACTTGATTTTTTCGTTTTAATGCTCTTTCAATCCAACAATGTTTGTCATGTGACATATGATTTGTGTTCATCCTATTCCGCTTAAGGTCATGAAGGACTGTAAGTTGATTTTTCCAACATCAGCTCTGATCATATGATTGTAGGAAAAATCATCTACCGGTCCTTCATCAGCTTAAACGAAATAGGGTGAACACAAATTATATAAATATTGGTACGTTCGTTTATAACTAGGACTGCCAGTAAATCAGATATATAAGATGTTTTCAACCTATTTGGTTTAAGGTAATAAGGGACTGGTACTCGATTTTTCCCATAATCATATGAGTAGAGCTGATATGGAAAAAATCAACTATCAGCCTTTTATAACGTTAAACGAAATATGGTGAACACAACCCGTAGATATAATTTACTGGTAGTCTCGAAAACCTACTTATTAACGACAAAAGTAATGTCGTATGACAGAGAAAAGCTCAGCACGAATTTATCGTGGTTACAGGACAACGGACTGAGGACTTGTTAGCAAAATCCAACAGTATCCACATTAAGGGAGTCCGTAAAGGCTTTCAAGTGAGACCAATTCACAAATTACTTCCAACATCCCTTTCTTCATTTACTTGTTAAGTTATTTTTCTAAAATTGCTGTAATATTTTTAATCGCATGCAGATTCATTTCGGAATTAACACCTTATTCAAGCAACTTTACTGAACTATGATGCCCTTAAGGCTTCCTTACCGAAATCTTTCGGCCAGGAAAGGCCATTAGAATTTGTCATCCAATGTAAAATAATAATAGGAAATGTGACTTGGTATCGACGACTCTACTGAGATAACATTGTTGGGGAGAATTTTTACTTTATATGAAAGTGCATGAAGAAGAGATTCGTAGGTCGATCCCACCACAAGACAGACTACGTCAACTTAAACCTACAACGCGAATAAGACGTCGTCTTCCAGTGAGATCTTCTTCATGCTCTTTCCTACGAAATAAAGGTCTTCCTAACCATAAAATAATAATGACAATTTTTATAACCTAATATTACTTTGTTAAACAAACTCAGGCCATATCTTTAAGGAAAGAATACAGGGAGACGTGAAATAAAATCAGTCAGCACTAAACAAGAATACCAGTATGACAAAAAAATTCTTGAAATGTAGGTATTGAATTGACGGGTGTGCATGAGAACTAGCTATATATACGAGTGAGGAATTTTAATCATGTTGATAGTTTAAAGTAAGAGGAAAGGTGTTTATAGAAAAACATAATACTGGATAACATAGTGATTCATAAAACTTGAAGTAGTCAATATGTAAATGTATAACTTAATC